CCAGGCAGGAGGTCCGGATAGGGAAAAACTGTGCTTGAGGTCTTGAATATATGGACTGATTGCACAGTTTTTCCCTATCCAGACCAACTATAAGATAGTAAAAAACTTCTCCCCCCCCCCCCCTTTTTTTTTTACTTGTTTTTGTAATCCTTTTGTTTTGTTGTTTAATGTCAAAGGATACCAGACCACGAGCACGGGCAGATGCTGACAAAATACCACCCGCTCAAACAGCCAATCAGAACGCACAAATTTTACTGGATACCGGACCGGAAAAACAATAAAAACTTTTATTTTTGGCAAATAAATGGACTATAGATAAATAAAGAAAAATAACTCTTTAAATCGTTGATGTGGTACTTGTTTGGTAGTAACTACTCTGTACTATTATGCATTTTACTAACTACTGTACCACACTTCTGATTGGCCAAGAACTTTTAACCAATCCCAGTTATGTCATGTGAATTTGAAATGATAAAAGTACGTACTGTAGGTTTTTCTGCATATTAGTATAGGTAATTATATGTATGGGGCCAAGTAAAATTGAGGATTAATTTCACGAGTGTTTTCAAAGTTTTGAAATTGCCCGAGTCGCGAAGCAACAAGCCTTAAAATTATCATTATTTAACAATTTATTCACCAAAGGCAATTGATTATCCGTGGAATATTTACCAAGAAGCGAGTCTGATCAAGAGGGGAGGTGAATAATGTCATGTATTGAAGACAATAATACAGGTTATTATTACTTCCACTATGGCAAACTTTGAAAATTAAACCTCATATTCACTGTACCCCTCAAGCATAGATCATCGTCTCAGAATCACTGGTCCCTCGACCAATCACAGCTGTGCGAGAAACTTTTGATTCAAGTCTAAAATTATACTTCAATAGCAATTAAACTTGTTGGCATTTTACTTGAAGTATTCTTTTTTTGAAAGCTACTGCCTATACTTACCATCTGACAAGTCGGCTGTAGTACACACGGTAGATTCGTAATGACCTCTTGTCAATCTTATGATGAATAGACCGATACTACAAAGGATAGATAAAGAAATATAATTATTGTTTGTGGAAGTTTGTGGTGGAATTCAAGCAAGCAAATGTATCTATTCAGTGGAGGTAGGTTTATTCAATTTGAAAGTTATTAAATATTGAGTTTTATATTTCAATTCTGCAAAGAACGTGCGTGATATGGGATTAAAGACCATGCCTGATATGAGGCTGTATATAGCACTTCTCATCTGCTAATGATTGGGTACAATTGAGTTTAGAGGGAGTTTGAGCATTTCTTTGCAGAATTTCTTGCCTAAAGGCTTACAAAAATACTCCATGAAAATACACAACCATATCAAATGCTTAGCCAATGATAACCTCTATTTATAGATCATTTTCTGTTATGTACATCACGTTTCCGCATTTGAATACATAACAGGCATTTTCCTCTTTTCACAGCCTCTCAAAAGAGAGGATTCTTTTCGTATTCAAGCACTGAGTGCCAAAAACTATTTTCTTGAAGAAAGGCTGTTGTACAAGGCTAAAATCTTGTTATTCAGAAAGTTTAACTTGTTTTGAAGTGGAGATGACCGATGAAAGTGGAACCAAATTGTTAACCCAAAGCAAAAATCTTAATCGAAAATGAGGTTTAGGCCTTCTTCCCATATATTTTCTATAAAAAAAAGCCTGACAAAGCAACATTTAACACAAATGCAAGAAAGCATCTTTGTACAAATGAAAATACTGCTTCAAACAGGCATTTCATCATAGTACATCAGTTTCCAACTGTTTAAAAAAGGTTTTGAGTGTTGGCCCATAACAAAAATTGGGATCAAAACTCATACGAAAGTCTAGTTTTTGGCGCTTTTTGACATTATTGCTCTTTATTTAAAAAAATTTATCTCTTAACTTAAAAGCATTTTCACATGGTGATTTCACATGATCAAGGGATGTGAAAAGGACTACCCCATTTCACATGTTTTTTTCCACATGGTTTTATTAAATTTTTTTTTTCACATGTCAGTAATGTGAAATGTTATGTGAAAGCAATGTGAAATATTTTTGATGTGTTTCACATACATTTCAAATCTCTTGTCCTAACAGTGTTATGGTGGGAATAAAAAAGGCTATACAGTAATTACAAAAGTTCATATATTTTTTTTTTTTTAAGATACAAAAATATTTCAAGGAGATGTAGAAATTTGTTTACTTAAGTTTAAAATTACTGAGCTGAGCTCATAATCATTGTTAATTAATAAACTCGTAAAACATTTTAATTAGCAATTAGTCCTCGAGCCCAAATGGGCTATGAGTCAATATATAGCCCATGAGAATGGGCTATTGACTCGATCATAGGCCATGAGGACGAGAGGAGCTAATTGTTTTAGTCAAGTCCAACTAGTCGTTCAAATATATAGATGCAAAATTATCAAGTTTTGAATTAAAGTTAAATTCAATGTTTTGGTTTTCAAAGCCGGTACTTATCGCTACTAGTAAGCTATATCCTAACTTATAGCCTAGTATTAGGTTATCCAATTACCACTAGATGGATTTGACTAGTACTTATTAGCTAGACGTATAGTACTCCTAAGGTGAATACTAAAGGAGAAAGGCAAATTATCCATATGAATTAAACACTGTAACACAGTTTACGTACTTTTATAGCGTCTTCCAAAAACACCGTAGCCTGATCAACTGCTGTCTCTTCTCTATCTAGAAAGATCAGAAAAGAATACGCATAGCAAAGTACTGTATATGTTACTTTGTACAAACAATTTTTACTTTGCAAAATCAAATCAATAATCTTATGTTTCAGCTAAACTTCTGTCTACAACGAGCTAAAAAAAGACAAGCAATGATCAAAGAAACAATAGTCTAATTTACCTAGGCTGCCAAATACAGGCTCAACATCCATAGATTCTACTGAATTCAGCATGGAAAGAAGCTTGTTTAGTGGAAGATCAAAGAAATGTAGAGCGGAATTCGAAGAACAACAAATCTGTCGTAACAAATGTTGATATTACCGCTGACCAGTTGTACTTGATGTACCAGTCTCCCTCCTGTCCACTACGGCCCGATCACGCTATCTGACAGCCATCATCTTCGTACGCTATCGTGGTGTTTTACAGGCTAGGGATTTTATGGGCTAGTCAATTGAAACCCCCAACCCTCGACCCCCGCGAAATACCGGGGAATTTAACATTTGAGTGGTGTTAAAATCAGACATTTTCCCCGGTATTCGGGGGCACATTCACTGTTAAAACTCCCGCTATTGTGGCCCCGTTTTTTTGGTATAGTAGTCAACAAGAAACACATATCACGCTAACTCCAAATTCTTGTGCTACACAGAGCCAATAAGCCTGAAGCGAGATGACGTTTTACCCCCAACTCTATACCATAATAGTTTTTAAAATTCTTTCATATTAAAATTTTTGATTCCTTAGAGAATACAGGAACAATAGTGATAATTAAAGAACAAAAGCAGTGTGAAAAGGATTATGGTCTAGAGACGTGGGTAAAACGTCATCTCGCTTCAGGCTTATTGTTGAGTATTCCATGCACTAATACTCATTGCTCAATATTTTCATGGGCTCTGAACCTCAAATCATGCGAAAAGGTTTAGGTTTATGTGTATAATGGATTAAATTGAAAATGAACAATGCTTGTAAATATTGCGAAGCAGTAGTTTAACCTAATAGATTAATCATGATCTGATTCTACCTTCGAACTGACCGAAACGACCGTGAACAAAACCCGCGTATAAGAACCTGGGCTTTAAGAAACTGTTAGGCTAAAATTCTCACTTAAAAAAAAGGGGAACATACTAAAGCTAGGTTCTTACCCCTCCACATAAGAAAAAAAAGCCCCCTCCAGATAAGACGCTATATATACTCCTCTGTACTAGGCTGCCTGTACTTAGAATCACAACGCCTTCTAGGTATTTTTCAAGATGACCCACCTCTTGCTTCCAGGCCCTTACATTTTCAAACGGGCGTTAAAATACCCGCTCGATTCCCCGCTCAGAAAATCATTTGTTAAATCCCCGACCCCCAAGTACAATCATGCTCTTAAAAGCACATTAAAAACGCGTCACCTCCCAGTTCAGTGCCCCACTAGCCGCGGGGGTCGGGGGTTTCAATTGAGTAGTGCATTACATATCGCTCCAACTACCAGCAAATTTAATAGTAAATAAATGAATAAATCCCTTTTATTTAAGTGTCTAGTCGTTCTAGCGCTTTCGCACTAACTGGGGACACTTTTCTCTCACACGCACTACCACTACATTTAATATTTTATGCATACAAAAATGAAATGTGTTTCAAGTTCGATATAAAAAGACACTCTGACAGCTGTACTGTCTATAAATTTTCCAATTTTTGCTCCCTCGGCATCCCATAATTTCTTACTGAAAACACTACAATTCAAGATGGTCGCCGCTATTAGTTATTTTCCTCGTGTAACTCAAGGGAAGTCAGTCCAGAACAATATTCAAATTTGTCGCCATATTTCAATTCGGTCAGTATAGAGGTGCCTGAAAGTGCGGTTCTAATCCCATTTCTCAGCCCCCATTTTGACGAAATACCATAGTCCCAGCCTATGTTTTGCTCAAATCTCAATAAATCTCAATCCCATTCCCATTTTTTAATTTTTTGTTAGTTAGTTAGTTAGTTTGTTTGTTTGTTTGCTTGTTTTGTTTGTTTGTTTGTGAATCCCCTTCCCAGTGCATTAAATCCCAGTTTCCGAATCCCCCCCCCCCCCCCCCCCCCCCCCCCCCCCCCCCCAAAAAGCGAATCCCAGCTCCAATTTGACCCTCGCAGGAGTTTCTGTATAGATTAGCAGGGTTTAGAGCGGATGCAATTAAACCGTGAAATGAAATCAAACTAAATACTAACTAATAGTATCTATTTGGTGACTAATAGTTGCTATTACTCAACCAGAACATTTATCATACAAAGACAAATCTTTTGTTTGATAAATATTCTGGTTGAGTAATAGTGACTATTAGTCACTAAATAGTTGCTATTAGTTAGCATTTAGTTTTTTTTTATTTCACGGTTTAATTGCATCCGCTCTAATACGTTTTCAAATAATTTGAACGGTCTTCCACATATCGTTCCAACTTCCAGTAAATTCAATCGTTTTTTAAATGTGATTCTTATTGAAAATCGTAAAGTTATTATGTTAAAAAACCTTACAGCTGTGCAGCCCCGATAGACGAAAAAAAATTCTGCGTTTTGTATTATTTTTAGTTTTATTTTCCAATAGTTGCCCCCTCGACATTCCATGACGTCTTATTTAAAAACATAGCAGTGGCGGCGGAACGAAATGAGAGCTAAAAATCGATTCGTTATATTTTTGTTATTTAGAGCTGCGGTCGTCCAAGCTGCGTCGAGGTGGGCTTCCTGTGCTGTCCGTATTAGTTCTTCCACATCCAAAGATTGAGTGGAAGGCTCTAGACTGACTAGCAGTTCAGTATCCGTGCGAGGAAATATAGCAGCCTAATTAACATTTATCCCTGTAATAATAATAATAGTAATAATAAAAACTTTGGTTGGTTGAAAGGTTGGTTGCGAAAGGTTGGTTGCGAAAGTTAGAAAAACCGAGAAAAAACGCAAGAACACGGATCCATCTACTCATGTACAATCAGGACCAATCAGGTATTGTTCTTAATGTCAGCCTCACGTTCAAGAGCATTTTGAGCAGTGTCCATAGATCGAGTTGCGTCATTGCGTTTTCAAATAATTTGAAATCTTGGTGTTTCATTTATGGTCCCAACTACCAGCAAATTCAATTGTTTTTTTTTTTAGATGATAAAGACTGAGAGTAAAGCAAGAAAGCTGATCAATCGTACGTGTACAATCATGTATCATTGAAATTGCAGCTAAGTTTTCGATCAACGGGTGTTAAATTAGAGGTTAAAAGAGAGCTTGGAAAAACAACATGCGGAATTAATCAGTAAATCCTAGCACAAGACTTAAAAACTAATTACCGCAATAATACTGGCTAATCTTGAAATATTCGTAAAGACTTTTACCAATTAGGGTATACAGCGATGGATTAAAATTATAGTCTGATTAATTGACATCCGTCAGAATTCAGAGACTAAGTTACATTGACGCCTGGCAAGTATAGTGCATAAGGGTCCAAATTCAACTAGCTGATGGTCTGAAGTAGTGATATATGTAGAAATGTTGGCACTGCAAAACTAAGTTGTCTTGAAATCTCCAAAAATTGGCCATTAAAAAACAAAAACATGTTTGCCATTAAAATACAATTTCACAAGCGGAAAAAGCGATATTTCAGTTTTGTAAATTTTCTCCGTTCTGATTGGTCAACATTTTTTCTCAGATTAGCTAGATACACTTCTGTTTTTTTCTGAGGTTTCAGTTCGAACCAAAAGGGTGAGCTTACACTGAGGGTAAAAGGCTTCTATCTTTATGTTACCTATAAGAGGTACGGAAGGATTTGCATGTAGTGGTGAAATTAGAGACACAAAGCCAAGTGTGAAAATCAATATTTCAAGAGTGGTACTTGATATTTAACTGACAAGATATACATATTTTAAGACCATCTTTCAAAAATTCTCTATAAATGATCAATAAGCTTATGATTCGAAAACTTATTGATAAGGATGTAAATTACGTTCAATAGAGCATTTTTTTTTTAGTTAAAATCAGACGCCTGGAGCTCGGTTTTTTYCCCCCAAGGAAAAATAGCTTAACGGAGTAATTAATTTATTTACATATCTAGTTAACAATTTACCAAGCACACCTAATAACTTATGGTATGGATAGTTTGTGATGTTCTTGTGATGTTGTGTAGTTCTCTGTCTTAAGAGGAAACGTTTTTCGAGCAATCAATGGCAATAAGCGCCAAAAAGTACACCTTCACATTAACACTCAAAACCTTTTTTAACAGTTAGAAACTGATGTACATGATGAAATGCTTGTTTGAAGCGGCATTTTCGATTGTACCAAGGCTGTTTTGTTGCATT